ACTGGAAGACAAAGTTACATCCTGACTAACCACTGTGAGTCTCGCTGTGGAGACAAGACCACCAGATGACTCTGGCTCTGTTCTGACCACCCCTGGAAGCTGGTTTCTACAGCCCTACTCCAGTCACAAACCTGGAAGCCAACTGGTCAACACACAGCAAAAGCCTGAAGAATAACGGGGGACACTTGGGAAACATGGTCAAAATGCCATCTTGAAAAGACTTTTGACATTTGTCATCGAAATTAAGATTAAACCTTTTAATAAAAATATAATGGAAGAATTCTACCAAAAGAAAGAAAACTAATTTTCCTTCTAAAGATACCATAAATAAAAGACAAACAAAGAAATTTGATAATTGACAAGGAGTATGTTTTTAAGAATGTTTTATGTGAATGTGTGTGTGTGAGAGAGTATGCATGTACACCGTGTGCATGCAGGTGCACTTCCATAACTGAAGTTACCGGCAGTTGTGAGCTGCCTGATGAGGGTACTGGAAACTGAATTCCATTCCTTTGCAAGAGCAGCAAATGCTCTTAACCACAAAACCATCTCTCCAGCCCCAGGAATGGATACCCTAATACATAAACATATGTTTAAATCTATAAAGACACCTGTTTCTTAATTGATAAGTGAATAGGAGCTAGTAAGGGTGGTCCCAAAGGAGCCAGTAAACAAGAAAAAATAAACAACTCTAAACTCCACAGTCATGAAAGAAGCCCAAATTAAAACAAATTTTACAAACAAAACTGGCAAGTAATTTTAACAATGCTAACATACATGCCTCCAGCCAAGATCCCCAGAATTCATGCATCATGATGGTACAACTATCAATCAACACTGTGTTTGAGGAAAGCAATTGGGCCACATTTACCCAAACTCTTCAAATCTTTTATTCACTTTGACACATGAATTTTGCTTTTAAACATGTATTCACCAACAAAAATGGATAGCAGCATGAGACACATATGTAATGAATATACGGTATATTTATTATGTGTGAAATGCAATAGTAAAAGAGAGAGGAAGAATGTGCCCTCACTCCCAAGGCTTCTATGGTAACTTGGAATTATTAGTCTATTCTTGTCAACCAAATAAAAAAAGAGGATTATAATGTGTACATAACTTGCAGGAAGAAAATCAATTTTTCAGAAAGGAACTTTACCTAAAACAAAGCTGTCAGCAATTGAGGAGGCGCGATTTCCCATTACTGCTACAATGCCTGAATAATTACAGCCTGACACTTGGTATCCATTTTAACCAAGAATGAGGCCCAAACTGCTCTGAGAACATGTTCCTTCATATCTTTTCTGGAACTGTGTTCTGGAACAAAGGTCTTCCTCTTTATTGAAAAAGTATGCCTAGCATGAAATGATAAAATCAAAGCAGACCATTTTCAGAAGGATTTTGCCCTTTCTGGCTCCTACTGACCTAGAACAGCACACACAAGCTCAAACAAATGTTATCAACCTCATCCGACCTGTTGTTTGCAACCCTAATGGGATAATCTTGTTACTTCCAATGACTGTCCCTGTTTGCAGCACTTGTTTGATATGCACCACACACACACACACACACACACACACACACACACACAATTTATTCTGGATCAAGGCCAAGGAAGGGTCATGGGGAACTGAAACTATATATTTAGGTTACAGGAGGAGCTCAAGGCCCAGCAAGCTTGTTTTACAACATAAGCAAGCTGAGATAGTGTTAAATTATCTCAAAATAACTTTTGGCTGCAAGGTTTGGTAAAAGTCATTAGCCCAGAAGTCATTCATCCCCACAGTTCCCCTTCTTTGTTTTATAACAGAAGAGCATGTCCATATTGTAAAGTCATTCCCACAGTGATGTCTATAAGAGACCCTGGGAGAGATTTTAGTCCCTAAGCTCAAATAATTTATAGCAAAATTGATCCTCAAATTTCTAAAGATAAATCCAGAAATGAGGATTATGGGAGGATGTGAGGTCACATTGCACAAAAATACAGAACTTCATAGTAACTTACTGTAATATATGAACAAATTTCAAAATGCAGTCACCAGTATATAGATAGCACGTCCCTTAAATAATCTTGATTAAAGATTCTGTTCTCTTGCTTAGCCTTTGAAAGGCATGAAATAATGGATAATACAAAGTGATTCTCCAACTAGAATCTAAATTTATTATGAGTTTCTGTGACTGATTAACAGCGAATTCATAAATATTATGCATTGTATTATGCAGAGTTTTCTAGAGGAGCAGAACCAATGGAATACATATGGAGTCTAGACCTGATGCACACCTGCAATCCTAGCATCTGGGAGATGGAGTCAAGAGGATCAGGAGTTCAAGGCCAGACTTGATACACAGGAGTTTGAGGCCAGCCTGGGCAACATGAGACCTTGTCTCACAAAAGGGAGGGGGCTAGCTAACTACAATGGCTTACATTGTGGGATCTGAGTAGTCCAACAATGGCTGTCTGCGGACTGGAGAGGCTGAGAACCCAGTAGCTGCTCAGTCCAAAGGCTGGATGCCTCAGGAGTCCTGATCTGGTACTGGAGGCCTGGAAGATTCCTGGAAAGTTGCTAGTCTTCAGTCCAAGTTGGAAGGCTGAAGAAACTGGAGTCTGATGTCAGTGGAGGACCATGACAGCAGCAGTGCCAGCTGCAGCAATAGACACACCAGCAAGAGATGAAGGCAGGCCAGCAACAGTGTGTTTTCTGCAGACCTCTGCATCTAGGCCACCCAATGGAATGGTCTTGAGAGTCTTTGAGAGAGAGTCTCCTCCCCTCAGTTCTGGAAGAGCTCTGACATATCTCTTAGTTGAGTCCAGATTCCATCCCGGTGACCACCAAGATTAACAATCACATACATCAAGCAAACTGATGGCAAGACCCATAATCCTTTTAGGCAAGTTGAAAACCATTTCTCCAAACTCATTCTTCTGCGGGAAAGTGGGCAAATGAACTTTCAAGAAATATCTTGGCCTATTCAATCTGAGGCTGAGATCCCTGAAGAAATTTATAAATCTAAAGATTTATGCCAGCTGTCTTCCTGCCTGAGGGGGCATCGTAGCCATAAGCTTGGCTGGAAAATTTTCAGAGTAGGTCTCAGCATTTTTGACATTCAGCCATAGAAAATTCTAGTAACGGCCCTGTGGAATATTTGATTCTAAACAGCTTCATTTCCAGATATGTCTGCCTGAGTGAATTACCTGAGAAAGGAAGGCCAGTCACCTGCAATACGTAAGCTGCTGAATCAGTTATTTAAATCCTGGTGAAGGGGGCGGTTGACACTTGTGGCAGTATTAGAAAGGAACAGTTTCTTACAAAGACCCTTTGCCAAGTATACTCTTAAAGCCATGTCACAGGATCTAGAAACATGTGCAGTTTGCATTAGTAAAAGAGCTTGCATTCAAGCCATTAAAGGTAGTCTTCATTAAAGAATCGTAAGTTAAGCATAAGCATAAGTTGGACTTAGGTTACCAGAACTCAAAAGAAAATTTGGGAGATACTGGGGAATAGATGGCAAATTAACAAATGAGGTAGAGGTAAGAGAGGTGGAAAGAATTCAGACTTTAGTGACAGGAAGAGGGAACCTAGGACTTAGCTTTGAGGAACTCTGACATTTCATGACCAGGGAAAGGAAAATGGACACACCAGAAAAACAGATTTAGCTGCAGTACAGGAGAAGTAGGAAACTCTGTCCTTGTACATAAGGGTTATATGAGGACGTCAGAAAGATGCAGAGTAGGAGATAAGCATCTTCACTCCTGCTGGGTTGTGTGCATGCGGTTTTGTATGCAAATGCATACACATGCATGCATTGCATTAGTCTGTTTTCTGTTGCTGTATATGAGGGTAGTCTCACAAAATTATAATGGAGCTGAAATTTTTCCACAACCTAGTAATGTGGTTTTCCAAAAAATTCTAGCATGATAGTCATGTATTTGTGGAGATTCGGGTGTAAACAAAACCTCCATACTTCTAGTCAACAAATGTACCTCATGTGCAATTAGAGTGTATTCTATGCTTGAAAATAAGGACATTTATTAGCAACACATTTCTTAGATGGTATACCTGCCACTAAGCAAAGCATGACAGCATTTGGTCTTTGACCTTGTCCTGAGTGCACTGTGTCAGAAACTTAGGTGAGCATGATTGTGTCAGAATTTACAAGGGACAACAGTCTCATTGATAGCAGTTTGCCAAGTATCTTGATTTCCTTAATAGCCAGGTGAGGCAAACACAAGTTCTTTTATTCCAATGTGTGTGTGTGTGTGTAGTGTATGCACTTTATACACCTGTGCTTGCCAACAGGTGTATATGTACCGACCAGGGGTCAACTTCTGGTGTCTACCTTTGACACTCCCCACTACTGATTGACTGATTATTGATTGATGGAGATGAAGTCTCTTCTCTAAACCTAGAAATTCGGGATTCAGCTAGACAAACTGGTCAACAAGACTCTGGAATCAGCCCCCTTTGTTGAAACATTCTGTAGCTTTCGGAAAGGAATTCCGCTGGTCACATACCACTGTGTTGAATATTTTTGCGTCTGCGGAGGCGATACTGGCCTGTTCTTTTATCTTCAGAAACTAAAGCGATCCATAATTATGTTCATAGCTTACTATCTACTCCCTACCCCACTGAAATAATACAGTAGACCAATGATAATCTTCTGTTCTCTAATATATTTCAAATGGCTGACGACTTCATGTACTTTTGATGAATGACTGCAGGAGAAATGGTCCCGTTCTTGGCCACTGCCGGCTAGCCTCACATCATTCACACAGATACAAGACACTGCGCTCTACAAACTTCCCCATCCAGGACTCCACAGAGGCTGGGAACCCAGGGCCCTTCCATGGCATCGGGGCCCCAGAGGGGCTGAGCCCACTTCCCACCCGAGGCAAATTCGAGGAACTTCAAATCCCAGAATCCCTGGGTCCCATAGTGGACTACATCTCCCAGCGGCCTCAGCGCCAACGCTCCCGGCTGAGCCCCGCCCCTCCCGTACCTCCCGGGCCGCGGGGCGTTTGTGGCGGCGTATGCAGCTTCGGGCCGAGTGTCGGCGGATTCCCACGGGCGCTGCGGGCGGCGCTCAGGCCCTCAGGGCCTCGGGAGGACGTGCGGCCGAAGCCGGGCGGGAGGTGAGCGGCCAGGGCTGGAGCGCGGGACTGAGGCGGCCCGGGCCTGATGCGACGCTGGGGCGGGCGGCTCCGCTCGGCCTCCCAGGGCGTCGGCTGAGCGTTCCCGGCCCGGAGGCCTCTGCCCTGGGCGTCGACTGACCCGACGGACGCGGCCGGGTACCGGGCTGCAGTTCGCGCCGCCGCCCGCCCCGCGGAGCCGCCAGGTCGGTCGCGGAGCTTTTCTCCGGGAATCTGGACCTCGCTGCTGACAGCAGCAGAGAAACGGGGCGGGCAGAGCTCGAGGTGGAGAATCGTTCCAGGTCGGGAGACAGCGGGCGCCGGGATGCGAGGGAACCCGGGCGTCTCCTCCTCGCCGGTGCCCTCGGGCCGTGGCCCCATTCCAGCTTCAGTTTCCCGATCTGCAAAATGGGCTGCAGCGGTGCCACCTGGAGCCGTGGGCTGCCGTGTAGGGCGAAGCCTGGCCCATGTGAGTCCCCACCCTGGTGGAGCCCATGGTCGCCTCCCTGGCTGCCTGGAAAGTCTCGGATCCCGAGTGGGGGTCCCGGCCTTCTGTCCCTGACAGGAGGTGGAAGGCTTTCAGGGCTGCTGCCTCTGAGCGCTACCCGGTCCTCTTCCCTCAGGTCCGCCGTCTGTCTTGGAGCCGCACCCATCCTTTTGGAAGAACCCAGAAAGAACATGGCTCCTGAGCAGAGGCAAGCGAGGCCCCAGGTGAGCTAGCCCGGCTCAGGTCTTAGTGGAGTTTGGTTTGATTTTCCTGCTGACTCAAGTTCTCTGCCTGGTTCAGCCTTCCCTGGGGTTTGGAGCGCATAGCTCTACCCTGGAGGAGCTGGTCCCCCTTCGTGGGCGGTGGAGTCCTGGGGAGCCCCAGGCCCAGTCTCCAGTGATAGACACTGTTCTCCGACGCAATCTGCTGTGTGCATCCTAACGACAGGTGACTTCCTGTTCATCTGGGACAGACCGGGCATCACACCTGGGAACACTTCTGGCCCCGCCTCCTTCACGAGGCTGCATTTTTTTTCTCTGCCCTATTTTTCTTCGTCCGTGAGAATCTTTAGGATTTTCCATAGGCTTCTCCAGCCCAGTTATTTCATTTTCTTCTCACTTCACTGTATGGATCGTATGTTTTGGTTATATTTCACTTTTGTGAAACTAATATTGACTTGCCATTTTTACCTTCATGATGGAGCTCTAGGGGGACTGTCCCATCCAGGTGAGATGCTGTGTAGACAAAGGAAAGCCATGCAGAAGTCTGACTCTGAGAACAGGGAGCAGACACTATCTTCCTTTTAGGGTAGGTGAGAGGATGATGTGGTTAGTTCATGAAAAGTGTTTAGATAGGGCAGGGCACCCCATAATGGCCCGTGGTACTGAATGGCACTATATTACTATTGGTAGAATTGTTGCATCTTGTTTCTAGGACCCGAGAACAGTTGCTCTTTTCTGTCCTCGTCTTCGTCTCACAGTAAGACCTGGTGTGTTTTGAGTGTGCTGCCACTCTGCATGTTTTTTCTTGTTCTCACACCAACACAGCAGCAGCACTTTACACAGAAATGAGGAAAGTGAGGCTCAAAGAAATGAAGTAACCCACATTCATTCCCAGGTACATTTGGCCCTCAGTCTATGCTTGGACCATTCAGTTGCTCCATCTGATACAAGAACACACAGACCCAGGCTCATTTTACAAGACTCTTGAGCAGTCTGGCATTATCTTTGGATCTGAAAGTGGGTGTGTTTGATGCTTTGTTCTATGGCCAGGACCTGCTATGCATTTTTGGGCTCCTCCATTTCTTTTAAGGCTTTCACATTTGATTCCAACAGAGTCAAGTTGTGTTCCTACGCTGAACCTTCATCCCTATGTGTGACTGAACCTCCCTTCTGCTCCTCATGTGTAACTACCATGGTCTGGTGTGCAAAACTCAGTACCCAGAAGTTTAAAACCAAAGAAAGAAGAGGGAAGGGTCCATGTTCATGCTAGAAAGCTTCAGTGGTGCTGCCACCTGTGAGGCTTGTGACATCAGCTTTTGGCCACCCTGGACCTCCCTTTCCTGTCCCTGAAGCCAGGACTGAAGTAGGAGTGTGATCCTCCCAGTCCAGACACATAGCTTCTTTGCTTTGTTCAAGTTATTTCACACCTGTTCCTTGTATGCGGATTGTATTATAAGTTCTTAGAGAGCAAGGGTCACTTTTTGTATTCCATATTAAATTGCTTTTCATATGTATTGATGCTTATGGTGAAAATCATAAGAATCTCCATCGGAGGATGTTCTAATTTACATGTGCACTAATGGCCCAAATCCCCGTACACAGTCCAGGTTGTATCACCAAATCACCATTAAATGGATGACCTGGACCCTTCAGAACCTTGAATGGCACCAGCAGCATCTTACTGTGGCCCGTCCACTTCTCCCATGTCGTGTCCCTCACACTGTGGGATGCTGATCCTGTGAGCTGCAATGGCTTTTCCTCACAGGTGTCAGTGACGTTTGAGGATGTGGCCGTGCTCTTTACTCGGGATGAGTGGAAGAAGCTGGATCCCTCTCAGAGAAGCCTGTACCGAGAGGTGATGCTGGAAAACTACAGTAACCTGGCCTCACTGGGTGAGGAGTCCCCTGTAGACACAGAATTTGGAAGTGGAGAGATTTCAGCACCTCCTTCCCTGAATAGAAGCTGTGGATCATCAAATAACCTTAGCGTTATATAAATCAGATCTCCATAAATATTGAAATTGTCTTTCCCTTACTGGGATGGAGTTGCCGCATACATGGGAATGAGGGGTTTGATGTTGCTAATTAATCCCGTCTGTAGTTTGGCATTAGAAATTCCTTTTGAAACACTGTGTTCTCATTGTGGTTACTCTGTAGTTTGTTCACCACACACAAAGGGTTCCCTCAGTCTTCATCTCCTGCCTATCACTTGCCTTTCCCACATTTCTTTAGCCAAATAAATGTTGTTATACTCCATCATTGAAAAGGAATCAAATAGTGTTTTCTTACTTTAAACAGGCTGCTTGTTACCAAATCTTTTCCACAGATACCTGGTTATAAGTTTCAGGTCAGTCCATATATCCAGCATTCTTTCTATAGAAAGCCTAGGCTCTGTTTATCATAGTTCAGTAACATGTAGTTTTACCAGTCATGTCCTGTGACTCTCTTGCCTTCTGCTTAACACATCCCTTCACATGATGGGGAACATCTTAAATGCTCTGCAGAAGTTTCCTGTACTAGCCTTGAGTTTCCTACACAAACCTATAATGTTTTTTTTTGTTAAAGCCTAATCTTTTATTCTTGTTTGTGACCAGGATTTCCATTTACCAAACCAAAGATGATCTCTGTGTTGCAGCAAGGAGAAGAACCCTGGAAAGTAGAGAAAGAAAGTCGAGTCTCTTCTCTTGGTGAGTGGGTGGGCCTGAGTCACCCTGGAATCTCTACAAATAGTGGCTAGTAAGAATAGGGTACAGCCTGCAATGATTGGAGACTTCTTCAGGTTTTTTCAGGTTCAAGAAGTGATGGGAAAGGAAGTCCAGGCTCCTAGACCCCAGTGTCTGCTTCCCACATAGCATCTCAGGAGCTTTTCTGTTTCTGAGGAGGCCTCCATTTTGTGTGTGTTGGAGAAATTGGTATATGTAAGGGGTTGCAGGTAATTCATTCTGGTTGATGTTCAGTGTGTGTGGAGAAAAATGAGACAAAGGAAGCGGGGCTGGAAGGCCTCATTCTAAGTACTTTGTTCTAAGAGAGCTGGACTGTCCTGTAGAAAACTAGAAATTTTTAGAAGTGTGAACAGAATTTTGTGAAAACTGATAGTTTAGAAAAACTGGTCTGGTGCAGAAACAACTCTCCCTGAGTACAGCAATGACGAAAGAAGCTCTGGTATGTCCTCCCTCTGGAATGCATCACCTTACTAAGATGAAAGAACACACGTGTGGATGGTGTGCCAAGGCATGCTAAGGAGTAAACAAGTTACAGAGCTTTATGAAAATGTGTGTCTGTCTGGTACCCCTGTACACACAGAGATGAGAAAGACCCGACACCTGGTGACAGTTACATTTGAAATGAGTTTGGTGAAAGGGGACTTTATTATATGTAGTTTTAATTTTCACAGGTTATATTTGTGAAGTCCTTATGTGATTTGAATTTAGTAAGACTGGCTCTTTGGGAAGCATTAGTAGGACAGATTTAAAGTGTGGCAAAGCTAGAGGTAGGAAGCCTCAGAGTTATTTCAGGAAACTGGTATGGTCCAGATGGAGAACCCTACAGTAAGGACCATCAGGATTAAGGAGATGATTGCTTGGTAAGGGGTTTTCATCTGAGATGTGAGTGAAGTGCGCAGATAGTCGTTTCATCTGTAGGTAGTTGAATAAAGACAGATGGAGTTGGGACTCACAGAAGAGGTTAGACACCTCAGGAGGAACTTAACAGTGTTATGTGTATTTTTAATTTTGTAGTCTAGAGTGAACTACAGAGGGCAGAATCCCATGAAACCTATTTCACAATGTTTAAGAAAAAGAGTCTGAGACAGAGTCTGAGATGATGTGACTAGAGGAGAGCAGTAGAAGTGGTAGGTTCTTTGGTGGCTGAGAGCTGAGTGCAGTTGATGGGGGAGGCTCCTTCACTTGAGAACTGGGACTCCCTCCCTGGCCCAGCATTTGGCCATATCTTTGTGACCACTAAACAAACTCTGTGCTGGATACAGTGAGGTGGCACCAGGTAAGATGAGTCCCAGTCCTGCTCTTGGGGAGCTTGCAGTCCGGGAGACAATGACTGTGAAGGCAGCACACACACACAGGGCGCAGAATGGTCGTCTAGTGAGGACTAGGAGAAAAGGCCATACAGTGCTGTGAGGCACAGGCCAGGAATCACTGCAGCGAGGCCTCTCCTGAAGAGGGCAGGATCCCAGCATATAGAGATTAAGTCTAGCCTAGAAAGTGATGGTCAGGAGAAGTGAAGCCAGTGCTGACCGAGGAGAAAGGTAGAATTGACCAGAAGATAGTGGCAGGACCAGATCCCACCAAGGCCCATCACAAAGGTTGGTCAGGATTTGAGAATCCACACAGGGCTGAGGAGTCATGAAGAGCCTGGAGCTGGACCCAGGTTCCCCTACCTCCAACACACCACAGAGAGAGAGAGAGAGAGAGAGAGAGAGAGAGAGAGAGAGAGAGCGCGAGTGCAGCCTATACCCAACTAGGGAGCTTGAGGATCTGAAGAGGCGGGCAGGTGTGAAGCAGGGTCACGGTAGACAGTAAGGAGTAGGAAAGAACAGAAAAACAGGCCATGCCCCCATGTAAGAGCTCGTAGTCTAAAATGATAGTTCCTGACATAAAAACCACAGTTACTTATCTTTGAAACTCTTGTTTGGAAGAAATAGCAGTAGTTGTGTGGAAACTGCCAGGGGCTACACCCCAAAGTAGGTGGCATAGGTGACAGGGAAGCTATTGAGAATTAGGAAGGACGTTAATTCTAGCAGGTAGAGCCAGGTGTGCCACTAAATACCCTGTGCTGTGCAGGAAGCCCCACACAATAAAGAATTATCCAGCTCTGAATATCAGCTAAAAGTGTGAAATTCTGATCTACATTCTGCCTGTATTTACTGGCATTTGTACTGCAATGTGTTGTACCCAAGAGCAACAGAGGTCATTCTGTTCCATCTGGTATACTTCAGTGCCATTCAAGATGATCACAAATTTTTTCCTATATAGGTTTTCATATTTCTTATATTTCTCTTACTCTTTGTAAGTATAAATGATGGTTATTGACTTCAGTATGTCAATTCCATATAGTGCTGCTTTGTTAATGTGTTTACAGATATGTTACACCATTAGCCAATAGAGGCAGCTTTACTTTTTCCTTGCTCATCTTTATGTCTATTTTGTCTGATTGAAGTAGTTAATACTTCCTGAATGGTAAATAAGTTTGGGAAAATTTCATCTGAGCTAATCACATCAATCATTGACAATCTGTTTTTCATTTTCATTCTTCCAGGATGTAAGAGCAGTCTCCAAACCACAAAATCAACCCAAACTAAAGATGCATCATTTCAGGAACTAATGAAAAGACTCAAAAGGGATGATCCCTGGGACTTCACATCAGAAGAACTCTACAGATCTGATAACAGTTTTAAAAAACAGGAGAAAAATGAAACTTTACAAATAATTTCAATCACCCATATGAAAATCATTAGTATAGATAAAAGCCATAAGAATTTTGAATTTAGTTCAGACTTCAGCCTGAAATCAGTGGTTAAGAAGCAAAAGATTGCTAGAGAAAAAACACAAAGAAATAGTTTCAAGGAGAATTCAAATTCACTGAACCAACCAAAAATCAAGACTGCAGAGAAACGCTATAAATGTAATACTTGTGAAAAAGCTTTCATTCACAATTCATCCCTTCGTAAACATCTGAAAAATCATACTGGAGAGAAATTATTTCAATGTAAAGAATGTTTGAAAGCTTTCAGCCAAAGTTCTGCTCTTATTCAGCATCAAAGAACTCATACTGGAGAGAAGCCCTACATATGTAAAGAATGTGGGAAAGCCTTCAGCCATAGTGCATCCCTCTGTAAGCATCTAAGAACTCACACTTTGGAGAAATCCTATACATGTAAAGAATGTGGAAAATCCTTTAGCAGAAGGTCTGGCCTGTTTTTGCATCAAAAAATCCATGCCCGAGAAAATCCTCATAAATACAATCCAGGCAGGAAGGCATCCCTTTCAGGGTGTCAAAGAATTCATTCAAGAAAAAAGACCTATTTGTGTAATGAATGTGGCAACACCTTTAAGTCTAGCTCATCTCTTCGTTATCATCAAAGAATCCACACTGGAGAGAAACCTTTCAAATGCAGTGAATGTGGCAGAGCCTTCAGTCAGAGTGCATCACTTATTCAACATGAAAGAATTCACACTGGAGAAAAGCCCTACAGGTGTAATCAGTGTGGGAAAGGTTTCACTTCTATTTCAAGACTCAACAGACACCGAATAATTCATACTGGAGAGAAGTTTTATAACTGTAATGAGTGTGGTAAAGCCTTAAGTTCCCATTCAACCCTTATTATTCATGAGAGAATTCACACTGGTGAGAAACCATGTAAATGTAAAGTGTGTGGGAAAGCCTTCAGACAAAGTTCAGCTCTGATCCAACATCAGAGAATGCATACTGGAGAAAGACCCTATAAATGTAATGAGTGTGGGAAAACATTTAGGTGTAACTCATCCCTAAGTAATCATCAGAGAATTCATACTGGAGAGAAACCTTATCGATGTCAGGAATGTGGGATGTCATTTGGCCAAAGTGCAGCTCTTATTCAACATCAAAGGATTCATACAGGAGAAAAACCCTTTAAATGTAACACATGTGGGAAAAGTTTTAGACAGAGCTCCTCACTTATTGCACATCAGCGAATTCATACTGGAGAGAAACCCTATGAATGTACTTCATGCGGGAAGCTCTTCAGCCAGAGATCTTCCCTTACCAATCATTATAAAATTCATATTGAAGAGGACTCCTTGAACACAGATTTGCATGAGTAAAAGCCTTTCACCAAAGCTATCATAGGATATATATTTCATATTGACTTAATAAATAAAATGAATTTGAGGAAATTTTAATTTAGTCCTCTTCAGATATTAAAATTGTAAGAATAAACCTTGGATATGTAATAATTATAGAGAAAATTTTCGTACTTGTCAGTTGCAGACATTGACAGGACACCTTGTAAAAGAGACTTTTTTCATTCTCTTTGTCAGCATTATATAATATATGCAATATGCAGACATTAAAAAAATCTGAGTTCAGGAGTTCTGGGTTTCTCAGAAAAAATATCAGCTCACATATTTACTACAGCAAGTATTTTAATAGCAAATAAAATTAAATACATGACTTTCTAAAGCAAGGAACCAAATTTTTAAAAAACCAAAACTTTAAACTACCTCTTAGTGTATGAAATGTACCTTTCCTAAGCTACTGTCAAACTGCATGGTTTTTATTAAAAAAGAACTGATCTCTTAAATTTTTGTTCTAACTACATTTTAAAACTTCCCACATTTAATATACAAGTTCTAATTTTGTGCTGAGAGTTATTTTCCTCCACTGCCTTGAAGTCATTATTATGAAGCCACACTTGCCATGTTCTGAAAAGAGAGTTCATGAAGAGCTTATTCACCTACTTGGGTCTTTCTAGTTTACAAGTTTTCAGAATGCAGAGAGCAATAATAATTGTTAACTTTGGAACTGGTTTACACAAATACTTAGGCCTAAACTTGGGGACCTGGTTCAATCCTGAGCACTTGTACCGCAGTGAGTGGTAAAAGAAATAGCAAATGAGTAAACAAATTATAATATGTTAAGGTGGTTTTCAGAGAACAGACAAGTGACTGTTAGCATTACGCAGCTGTGAGAGAGTACCTGAGATCCATGTACTCTCATGGTTTCAGACATTTTCACTCTTGGTTTGCTGTTTGATGGCCTGTGGCAGAGTGCAGTGTTTATTATTACAGCAGCATCATAATCACACGAACAAAGAGTGGACCCAAACTTAAGAGAACACTAGTTTCCCTAGTTATTAGAACTGTCTCCTAGAACTCCCTCTTGGCTTTTGTCACCTCAACCTGTGCAGATGGAATTGTGTTTTCACCCTGTGCTGATAGAACTCCCACTGTCCCCCCCAGTCAGGCCACATCCTTAATTTATTCAAAATGGTTTCTCCAGCTTCACTGGGAAATACAAGTTCAAGTTCAGCTCCACCCAATCTTCACAGACCATCCGGGCTTTTCATCCCTAGTTCACACTGATCCAGGGTCACTTGCTCTTCCCGACCTCCACTGTGTTCATAGAGATGGGGTGCCACCTTTAGGTACTTTGATATAGTCTCAAGCACATCCATACTCATTTTCTTTTTGGGTAGAGTACCAAATTGATGTTGCCACAGAAACACCCCAGTCATCAGACCCAAGAGTGTATGGTTTGGGTGGGGCTAATTAACAGTCATTCTCACAGCAAGACAGAGCATCACAGCAGGGAGCATGGGGTGAAGAACATGGTAAAGCAAAGCTGCCCACCTCATGACAGCCAGCAAGCAATGAGGGAGAAGCAGGGTCCCAATATCTCTTCAAAGTCACTCCCCCACTGACCTAACTTCCTGCTAGGCCTCAGTTATGTTGGAGAGCAAACTGATTTGTGCAGGATGTAGACAAGAGAAAGTCCTGGAGAGACCAGAGATGGTTATGTGTCCCAGGAACAATGACTGGCCTGGTTTGGGAGGAATAACTAGAATTCTTCAGAAAGCGAGACAAATACCATAAATAGGAGAAATCATGTATGGAAAGGTACAGGTGAGTGCCAGCATAGTACACCTGTAGAAATTCTGTAAGAAACAGTGAAGCAGTGTATGATGGCTCAGGCAGGAGGATCTCAAGTTTAAGGTCAATCTGGGCTACATAGTGAGTCCAGACCACTCTGGGCTACAGAATGAGACTATTTCAAGAAACACTACTGTGTCTAATAGTAATGAGAAAGATACGTGAAGCTTGAGAGGAAGGCAGAGGCTAGGTAACAAAAGGTTATTTGCCATACTAAAGAGTTTGGATTTTGTTCTGAAACTTAAGGCACTAATTTTAGTAAGGGAAACTATTCTAGCAGCAAGACAGGTGAATTCAGGATGCTGAATAGAGCTGAACCAACAAGTTTAGAAGTATAGGCTGTGAAAATGAGCAAAAATAGGGACAGTGGTCTAAATATGTGACTATTAATGAAGAATAGAATAATTTTTTAATATTTTTATGTGTATGAGTGTACTGCCTGAATGTATGTGAGTGCACCTGTGTCACACAATGCCACGGAGGTCAGAAGAGGGCTTCGGATTCCCCTAGAACTGGAGTTAAGGACGGTTCGTAGCCACCATGTGGATCCTGGGATCGAACCTGGGTCCTCTGTAAGAAAAGTCAGTGCTCTTAACCGCTGAGCCATCTCTCCAGCCTCTAAATAGAATAATTTTTACAGTCAGTCATTAGAAGCATATGTGAACTCCCAGGTAGTTACCTGGATGATGCTGTGATGCAGCACAACAGACAATATAGAAGTGAACAAGTCTGATTTTATTATGTATGTTAAATTGGTAGCACACACCTTAAAAAGAAATGTGAACTGGAAAACTAGACTTACAAATAATTAAGATATACTTGGTGATGAAAATCATGATACAGGAAATTGTCAGGCAGATGTACAGGTTAGAATAATAAAACGGGGGGATCCTAGATAAAATGTAGGGCAACAAATAAAAGATGTTGATGGGGGAGGGGAGGAATTTAAGATAGGAATAGCCCTATGCTGGAAATGCTAAAAGAATGACACCACTTAGCCCCAAAGAGAAAATCTCAGGTGATCACTAATGTCAAGGGCCGAAAGCAATTAGGGAAGAAAAGACGATCACTATGCGACAGCTCACTGGAGAACTTGGCAAGAGCAATTAGTGAGGTAGAACGAACAGAAGCCAGAATATTTTAGCTAATTATAAGCAGAACGAGTAGGCTAGGTTTTAAATGGGGGAAAGGTTATGGACTGGCAGGAAGGCATGAGAAATGTGCTCACTACACTATGGTAAACAGTATTTTAAAACTATTTGCAAGGGATAGGAAGATGGTGAAGCATTTGCCACACAGGCATAAAGACGAGAGTTCAGATCCGAAATATACATAACCACCTGTAATCCCAGTGCTCAGGAAGGGAAGACAGGATCCCTGGAGCAAGCCAGCTAGCTAAACTAGTCAAACTAGCTGTGAGAGACCCCCACCTTAATAGAGAAGATGGAGAGTGATTAAGGAAGGCACCCAACATCAACTTCAGGCCCACACAGGCACATTCATACACGAGCTCTCAAACATGCATATCACACTTGGACACACAAGAAAACTTCATTTTCCATTACTAGTAAATAGAAATATAATTGAGTTTTATATTTGCATTGTATATGTAACCTGGCCAATTTACTTATTTACTTTGTGTGTGCACACAAATTTATTTCTAATAGCCTATCTGTAGATTCTTCTGCATACACAACCATGTAACCTATGTCTTTTTTCCCCCTTACATCATAGCTCTATATAACATGGTCCAGTATAATGAATAGAAATTGTATTTTTCCATTTAACTTATTAGCTGTAGTTTGTGGATGCCTGTTTTGAAACTGAACAGCTCTTGTGCTACAAGATTTTTTTTTAATCATGAAAGTAGTTGTTTGTTCATCCATTTTCTGCATTGACTAAAATGAGTTTTTCTCTTCATTGTTTTGAGAATTACACTGTTCTAACACACACCCCAGGGGGTCTTGTTATATAGCCCAGGCTGCCTGAACACCTATGTAACTATCCTGCTTCAGCCTCCCAAGTGCTGGGATCACAGGCATGTACCACCACATCCAGCAATTGTTCTAAATTTAATGGTGCATCAATGAAATAAATTCTTACTGGCCAGGCTGTATCATAATGTGTTTGCATATATAAGTCAGGCCTCTTCTTCAGTAAGTAGAAACCTGACTGAAGTGACCAGGATTATCTTCTAAGAACTTAGAAGAGAGAAATGTTCCTTATCTTAATCTGTACAATGGATGGAATGGTAACACCTGGACTGGAAGAGGAGGGCAAAGTCAAGAGTACTGCCAGAGCAAGGGCCCAGAGGAAGAGTCTAGCATCTGCAGAACAGGAGGGAGACTGTCTTACTATTATAGTGGGCTCCTGATAAAAGGAAATTAATACTTCACATAAAGGCTGAAGTTAGGCCTTCAAAAAACTCGAATGTTCTCTGTAGTCTAAGATATTGGAATTTGATCATGTATCAGGCTTGGGAGACTTAGCTGGATTCTGAGTGGTCAAAAAGAGGACTGTAGGAACCCGTCCAACATTTGGTTCAGGTCAGTCTGTCACAGCAGAAAGACATGAATTCGGAAAAAAAAAAAAGGGGGGGGGGACAGGATAGAAGAATTCCTTGGGAAGAAAGGGGTCAACGAGAGGAGGGGGATGAGGGAGGGCAGTTGGGGGTGAATGTCACCACAGTGCATTGTATACAAGAATGATACTATCCAAAAGACAATGGGAAGCTTATCAATTTTTGGTTTTTGATTTTTTTCTCAGAAAAGAAATACTACAACCTTTAAGGTTTTACATTTTTCTATTTTAAGTTGCCATATGCTTTCCCAAGTTCCAAAGTGGCAGATACAGCCAAAATGACCTAAACACAGGACACGTGTTTCACCGACAGGAATTCTACACAGTGACCATTTTGAGGTACCTGGAACAGTGTCTGACACTACCCTAGAGCCTGGGGTTCACTAGCTCTGGCTCCTGGAGTACCATGAAGTTTCCGGTACATTACTGCCATAGAGTGGCGTTTGGGCTGGCCTTACTTCAGAGAAGGAAAAGGCTGCCCGACTTGTATCGGTGAAAGGTTCTAAAAGGGTTATATTTTTAAGGGCAGCAGGTTTAAGGTGGTCGCGCAAGTCACCTTCTGGCTCAGCTACCCCACTCACCGCAGGTGCACCATGGGAGCCGCCAGTAGCCAGCCACACTCCAGCCGCGCCTGCGCAATGGAGGCCACGCGGGGGGGGGCGTGGCCTTGTGGGAAATGTAGTCCAACGCGCGGAGCGCGGCGGCGTCCGCCAGTGGGCTGTTCAGACTCCTTTGGCTACCAGGGTGAGTGGAGTGCTCCGTGCAGATTGTCGGTCCGCGGGTGTCGGAGGCTTTCAGAGGGGAGTCCGGTGCTGCTGCGCGGCCTCTGCGGCCCAAGGGCGGAGCCGGCCCGAAGGTTCGGAGCGTCCTGTGGCGCGGAGCCGCAGGTGCGCCCCTCACGCCCGGATCAGGCCGCGGGCTACACCCTGACCCACTCTGGCTCGCTTGGTATCCGGGTCCCAGGGAGCGCCCGGCTGGTTGCCTTCCGGGAGCGGCGGGCGTGAGGGCTCGCGCGGCGGCCCCGGCTCGGGGACCGAAGGCCGAAAGCTCAGCAACCCCTCTGCCCGAACCCCGCATCCTTGTCTCGGCCCCTGCCAGGGACCCGCCCCCTGGGAGGACGCTGGACCACCGCCCCGCGCGGCCTTCTGTGTGGTCCGCCTCTCGGGACCCGCCCTCTGTGGATCCCAGGGATGGAGGGATGCTGGCTTGGGTCCTGGCTTCAAGGGCCTTTCCCATCCGGATTTCTAAAGTAAAGGAAAATTTTCCTCAGTCATTTCTTTTTCTCCAGAGTTCACTGTTGGTCAACTGAAAAATACGAGCAGAATCATTTGAAATCTGTCAAAACTGGCATGTTGTTTTTGTATGTGTAAATACGAAGGTTTTTATTTTGTGTATTTATTTTGAGACAGGCAGGGTCTCATGTAGACAAGACTGACCTCGAACTCACAGAGATCCACCTGCTTCTGTCTCCTGAGTGCTGGGATTAAAGGTGTGTTATACCAAGAAATTTTGATTTTTAAAATTGGAATACAAGTATCTTTTCTCCACTTTTAAAACTGAGTCATGAGATGGACCTTGTAAGATGTTTAAAGTGTGTGACTATAAGGCTCATTTTTCTTAAAACCATATTACCACCACCCAGTGAAGATGGGGAATGAAATTTAAATTTCTACTTAAAGGTAGTTGACATCATCATTTTAATGAATGTAAGGGAAAGTCTAACTGTGATCTATCTGATTCTCTCTCTGGGCCTTTGGTTGTTTTTTTTTCTGTTACTATACCTGACATAAGTCATATGTGTATGACATTCTTTGTATTGTCTCATTTTACAAATCTTGAAGTGAAATTTCTAGATCAAGAGTACATACAGGAAGGCTTTTGATACCTTCCATAATTGTGCTGTCTCGAAGAAAGTAGCAGTTTATACAACCAGTTTCAGAGTGAGAGTGATTGATGGACCCACACCAATTTGTAATGTTGTCTCTTTAACCTCAAAGAGGTACAAAGATAGGGTTGTTTTCACTGCATTATGAACAGTCAGGACTATTTTATGCAGTTTGAATATACAGAAAAGCTACATAGTCATATGGTCACAAATAAACCTTCCCTCTGCTTCTTTTTCCATTTTCATGTGTGTGGTGAATGTGTGTGTGTGTGTGTGTGTGTGCGCGCGCGCACGTGTGTCCCCATGCTTGTGGAGGCCTGAGGTTGCTGTCAGGAATCATTCTCCATTGCTCTTCCACCAAACCCACCAAACTCATGACTTCAGGGCTCATGCTTGTGCAGCAAGTACTTTAACCACTGAACCATCTTCCCAGCACCACCCCCACTGTGTTTATCCTAATTAAGATGGCCTTCTGTGACATCACAGAAGTGTTCACCTATAGTTTCTTAAAGCTCTTCCCACATGTACATTTTTATTCTTTTCCAAATGGCAAGCCCTTTTTATAAGTTACTGAATAATCCTTTATTAATGAGATGCCAATTTTTGCAAATCCTGAAATGCTTTTATCTTCCTTTTTCGCTGTGAAAGGGATCAAACCTAGGGTTTCACACATGCTAGGCAAACACTCCTGGCCTGTAATAACTCAGCCCCTAAATTCCTATATATGCATTTTTCTGAGTTATTTATACTGGTAGGATTTTACTTTGTTCCATTGGCCCTTTTCCCCGTTGGCCTGTAACATCCACAAGGGCAGTGAGTTTGTCTGTAACCACCATTGGAATGATTATAGTAGGTGTTGACAGGATTGTTGATAAACAAGTGGTTCTTCTTGTTTTGGTAATACTGTGTTCTGGTTGTTGCTTTAAAAACTTCTTGTGGGCAAGCTCTCTTTTGTGACTTCTTATGTGGCTTGCAGTGTGATAGTTTGATAATGTACACAGTGTATAATGATCAAATTAAGCTAATTAGTATAAACCATAACCTCACATTTGTCCTTTCTTATATTGGAAACCGTTAAGGTCCTTTCTTGAGCTGAGTGCTGATACACACCTGTAATCCCAGAATGTAGAGGAAAGGTAGGAGGATCAGGAGTTCAAGGTCATCTTCCAATACACTGCAAATTTGAGGCCAGCTTGGGCTATGTGATATCTGTCCCCCAAAATGAAAAAGCTGGAAAAATGGTCTAGTAGGTAAGAATGTTTGCTGTGCAAGCATGAGGACCACTTGGATCCCAGCACCATTTAACACCCTGGGTGCGGGGTGCACTGCCTGCACATGCACCTATAACCCCAGGGCTATGGGGAGTGGAAACAGGAGAATCACCAGGGTACCAGCCACCAAGCTCACTGCAGGTTCAGAGACCCTGTCTTGAAGGAATAAAGAAAGTGTGATAGAGAAGGACCCCTGATGTCTTTCTCTGACATTTTACACATACGTCCACATGAATGCTCATATACCACACACGGTACATACACACACACACACACACACACACACACACACACACACACACAAGTGATAAAATTGAAGCTATTTTGAAGTATGCAGTATCATAAGTTGATGCTAGTTAGCCTTCTGTGCTGTAGAATATTAAAGCATATTCCTGTTGCATAACTTTATTTTTCCCCTGAAAATGAGCCTCTCTGTTCCTGACTCCCTCCACAGTGCCTGGCAGCCACTGCAGTTTTCTCTACTCATACTAGATAAACTAGCATAGTGTCCACATATGAACGGGGGCACGTTCTGTTTGTCTTCTCTGGTGTTCTCCAGAAAATTCCCAGATATTATACAGCACAGTTAACTTTGATAATCTTTCCATAATTAATGTTAAAATATTGTTATTGAGGGATGTGACCTGATTAGGAGTGTGTTAAGTTTATACATTTATTTCACAGAAGTAACAGCTTAGAACACTGAGCCATCCTGTCTAGGTTTGCAATGTGTCCTGTGTTCATCTTTGCTTCTGCGTCTAAATCAGCTGAAATAAAACAAATTTAGAAATAAAATGTATAGTTGTGTTTATGTAGACGCCTCACAATCCTCATTTCATTTATTTGTAGGTATTTTGGTTTTGTTGCGGCAGGAGTCTCTCATGGCTCCCTTTCCTTCCCTCAGCTCCACCTCTAGAGTCTGCACATTCTCTAGGAAGGACCCACAGGAGGAAAGAAGGCGGTGGCAGCTGGGCCTCTGCCCCTGGGAGCTCAAGTGAGTGTGTCTTTCTCTGTCAGACCTCTCTTCTCCTTCCATACGGTGTGTGGAGCTCCCTGCAGAGGACAGGGCATTGAATGGCAGGGTGTTGTCCTCTCAATGACCCTCACCTGATCACAGTGATGCTCAGCTGCCAGTTGACATCCTGTCTGCTGAGTTCTTGATGGTACTCAAAGGACAGAAAAGGAACACAAATCATAGGAGAGATGTATCAGGGCTGATGGGGCTTGTGGATGATGGGAACCCTAGGACTGTACAGGCCTCAGTTGCAGTGGCTGCACGTGGACTTGGTTCCCACACCATCATTTTTGTAGGACCTAGAAGAGAAGATGGAGTTGGGGAGGGATAACTGGAGAGGATTTGCTGTGATGGAGTTCCAAGTTTAATTTTGTTTTGTATTTTGAGATAGTGTCTCATTGTGGGGCCCTGGCTGGCCTGGAACTCGCTATGTAGACCAGGCTGCCCTCAAACTCACAGAGATCCACCTGCCTCTGCCTCCCGAGTGCTAGGATTAAAGACATGCCACCACGCTGCCTCCAAGTTGAAATTCTGTGCCTTGCCATTTATTAACTGCATTGTCTTAGGCAAATGATTTGACTGAAGCGTCACCGAGGCATCACTCTCCAGGATGGTGATGGAAATCACAGCATTAATTTGAAGCGTCATACACTTGGCATGGTTGAGTTGCATGGCTCCTCGAGTTTAACATTACCTGCTTCAAAGGTTTTGAAAGTTCAGATAGAGGTATATGAAAAGTACCTAGTCCTGTTCCTGGAGTGCTGAAAGTATTATGTAAGTGGTAGTCACCCTTGGCATTGTTCCCGCCAAGAGCTTGGTGGTTTAGAGTGTTGGCAGAGTGAACACAGCAGTGACGGAAAGTGCCGTGCTGGCTGGAGTAGAGAGCCTCTGCCCCCCAGGCTGGTGTTGCAGGTGTGCCCCTCCCCCCGCTCGGCCTGTCCTTAACTTCTTTTTGTTTAGGTCTGTGTATACTAGGTGACATATAGCTGGATTTTATTTTATTTTTTGCAACAGGGTCTCCTTATGCAGTCCAGCCTGCTCTGAACTCATGATCCTCCCGCCTCAGTCTTCTGAGTGCTGGGATTTCAGGTATGTTCCATCATGCCAAGCTAAGTGCTTGATTGTAAATCAGTTTTAGAGTTTTTCTTTTTAATAGAGGCCATCATTTATGCTTGTAACAGCGTTGTCATTTTCTGGTGACTTAGTCATTGTCGTATTTTGCTGTTCACTCTCATCTCCTTTACACTTGCATTGTCATTTTCCTTTATTCCTTCTTTCATCTGGTAAACATCATGCCATATATTTATTTCCCACTAGTGACCGCCTTCATTCCTCTGCAAATGTTTGTCAATGATTTGTAACATGTTACTGGCACTTAGCTATATTGATTAAACAAGAGCTAGGAGAAAATAATGAGGCAGAAAGAAAGATAATGTCCTCCAAGTGGGGACGTTTTCCCCAGAATTCCTCATCTTGGATATAAAATCTGCAGATCTCTTGGGACCTGGTTTCTGCTGTCTCCATCCAGGCGTCTCTTCCCTGCTTTGCCCCCTTGGCCTGTTTGCGTGTTGGAGAGCTCCCTTCCCCTGAAGGGTGAAAACCTTTCTTGCTTTGTTTTCATTGGTTATTCTTCCTTTTCCATATACTTACCTCTCCTCTTCTTTCACACACACACAAATTAAGTAACTGATTCTGTTTAGTATTCTCCCATTCGCTATCAATTCACTCTGCTTCCACAAGTTGCTGAAATTAGCAAATTATTATTTAATTTTTTATGGCACTGGGGGTTGAACTGAGGCTGTGTGCGTGCTGCCAGATTGCACCACCACCAAGCCACATCCCCGCACAGACTGTAGTAACTCCAGTCATCAGCTGTTTGCCATGCTCTGCTTCTGACCCTGCTGACCGCAGCCTCCTTCTGGAACCCTCCTTTCCTGTGCTCAGTTGGGCATCTCTCCCTCCTTCCCTGACTCTTCCTGCCAGCCACTGCTGGGCTCGTTCTTGGCTACCTTCTCTTTCCACAGCACAGGGAGTTGGAGACCCAGCTGTATGGTTGCGGTTCATTTAACCTTTGATCTTAGGATTCCTCATCCACAGAACGACACTGCTGCTGTAAGCCTCACAGGTTGATCGATGGAGTATGTATGGTGAGGCGTGTGAATCTCCTGTTAATGGAAAATTCTGCACAACTGTGAATTTTTTGTAATAAGCACCCATTTGCTTGTGACTTCCCTCATTAGATGGACACTTTTGTTTTAGTTCATATTCAATGGGCTAGACACAGACTACTTTGGATTTATAAATTTGAAATGCTGAGTTTGTTTATTGGTCACAAACTAATCACTATATTTATCCTATTTATACTCATTTTCCTTAATTTGTATGTAAGGTCTTACACTTCCTTGACATGTTTGAGCTTCACCAGTCAGTGCACTAGATGTTGAGACCCAGCTTTGGGTCCCCCTTTCTCATCATTTATGCCCCTATCCAGCAGGAAAGGTGCTCTACCCAGATAGCTTGCTGTCAGCTGGACCAGACACACTCTTCCCAGGCTGTTCTGAAGTCTCTCTTGTTACGAGCTTGTGGAGGCAGCCACAGTGTCCACTTACATTTTTACATGGAAACCAAGGACCTCCTGTCTCTACAGTGCCTGCCTCTCACAGCCCCTGCTGGTTCACTGTGTTCCAGAGTGCCCCTTCGTGTGACCCTACATGCCCCACCATATCCTCCTCCCTGGGCTGTGACTGTATGCAATTTATAAATTGCTATCCAGCGCAGGTGTCCAGGGTCAGGTGTCAGCTATTCAGTCATCTTTACTATTTAAGGCAGAGAATCCCTCCTTCACCTTGAGGATGAGGAGGAGATGAACAGAACGGTGGGGATTGAGAGCAGAGATTGGTACCTTTCTCTTATTTTCCTGTATTTGTCAGTTGTCTGTTAGAGTAAAAACAAACACCCCAGAGGATGGGAACTTTATAAAGAAAAGAGTTTGTTTAGCTCATGGTTCTGGAGGTTGTGGGGCATGGCACTGGCTTCTGCTTGGCTCTGGTGAAGACTGTGTGGCAGATGATGCCTCAGAGTCTGGAGGGCTGCGAGAGGGAAAGAAAAGAGGGGAAGGGCCAGTGACAACCTCCCACTAGGCCGCGGTCCTAACAAGTCCCAGGATGGGAACTTTATAAAGAAAAGAGTTTGTTTAGCTCATGGTTCTGGAGGTTGTGGGGCATGGCACTGGCTTCTGCTTGGCTCTGGTGAAGACTGTGTGGCAGATGATGCCTCAGAGTCTGGAGGGCTGCGAGAGGGAAAGAAAAGAGGGGAAGGGCCAGTGACAACCTCCCACTAGGCCGCGGTCCTAACAAGTCCCATCACCTCTGTGTGTGTGTGTGTGTGTGTGTGTGTGTGTGTGTGTATGTGTGTTTGTGGTGTGTATGTGTGGTATGCAGGTATGCACACACATTCCTGCACTTGCTCAGATCAGAGGAGGACATCTTACATCTTCCTCTGTTGCTCTTAGCCTCATTTCTTTTAGACAAGGTTTCTCACTGAACCTGAAGCTTGTCATTTAAGCTAGGTTGGCCAGCCAGTGAACTCCCAGGATCTCCCTGTCTCTACCCCTCGTGCTGGGATTGTAGGCATGCACTGGCTTTTACATGAGCACTGGAGATATGCACTCAGGTCCTCTTGCTTGCATTGAAAACACTCTAACCCACTGAGCCATCTCCCCAGCCCTTCCCACATCCTTATAAACCTTGCCACTGTAGGGACCCAGCTTCTAACATGTGAGCTTCTGAGGCCAAACCAACTCCAGAGCCAAACCATAGCCCTCCTGGAGAACCTCCTTTTCCTGTCCTTGATTCCTGTGACAGTTAGTGTTAACTGTCAGCTTGACAGAATCTGGAATCAGCTGGGAGACAGACCTCTGGGCATGCCCAGGGTGGACATCATCAGGGTGCAGTGAGAAGCCCCTCCACAGTGGTGGCAGCATTCCCTGAGTGGGACCCTGTGCTGTGCAAGTAGAGGAAGCAGTTGAGCAGCAGCAGCACTCAGCCCCCTCTGCTTCCTGATGCACATGTGATGTGGAGCTTCAAGCTCCTGCTGCCTTGACTTCCCCTCCATGATGGACAGCACCTTGAACTCTGAGCCAGAAAACACGTTTCCCTTAAGTTGCTCTTGTCAGAGGATCTTACCACAGCAACAGGAAAAGAAGCTGGCAATTCCCAAACAATTTCTGTCTTACTGTTTTCTGTCTTGGAATGTCTGGTGCTCTGCCAGTGTCAGCATGGCACACAGCCTCATGCCAACCCGGGGTCACGCCCCTTTTCCTAGTGCTGTTTGTTGTTTATTTTTCAGAAGGTTTTATTGGCATCATCCCTTGTTAAGGAGGAATTTGTAGTTTCAGGAGTCAGTGACGTTCAAGGACGTGCCTGTGGACTTCACTTGGGAGGAGTGGATGCAGCTAGATTCTGCTCAGAAGCCCCTGTATGAGAAGGTGATACTGGAGGACTACAGGAACCTGGTCTCCCTGGGTGAGGACTGCCCCTTGGAACTCAAGACTCGCCTCTTGCCACCTTTCTCCTTCAGTCCTGGGCTACCTGAAATTCATGGATTCGACTTGAAACCCCAGCTCTCAGGGGGCGTTATTTCAGGATGTTTGCCTGGTGTCCTCTCTCTCAAGGTGAAAGGCTTTTTCTGTAGTGAATGGAAAAAATGGAAAGGGAAGAGATCAGAACTGTCTTGGGATTGAGTTTAGCCTCAGTTCAGAACCTACACTCAGTTTCTTTCCTCCCAAGCAGGGCATCAGCTTTCCAAACCAAATGTGATATCTCAGCTGGAAGAAGACGAACTGAGCCTCAGGAAAAAAGAGCTCCCAGGGTGCATCTCTCTGGGTAAGTGTCAGGATACAAAGATTTGTAATGTGGGTATCTTGCTGGGGAGCAGGTGTTAAAGGGACCATAGCATCATGGAGAGACCAGCTCCAGTTGGTGTACATTCTTTGAACGCAGTGCTGATGGGGCTTATTCTCTCTCTGGCATCTGACTTCATCTTAGAGGAGGTGGTAGATCATGAGGGTTGAGTGACCTGCTGCCCTTGAAGCGTTTGCATGCTGCCTAGAACCTACTGAGTAAGCGATCACTGCTTCTTCTGTCTTTGTCTCTGTGGATATTTCTTCCTACTTGTAACCTGCATGCCTCCTTTCTCTTGTTTATTTAAACATTTGGAAGCTTTCTTAAAGGTAACTTAACATTTCTCCACTTCCCACTGGTATTTTATATAGTCCGTCTGCATATTTTAAATGTTTTTATTTCTAGCAACCTTGTATTTTAGGTATTTCATTTATCATTCCAAAATTTCCCCTCTGTCTACTTCCTGTTTCCTCCCATGCAGCTCTGAATGTTCAGTGCTCTGAGTCCTGGTTCAGTGTTCTGAATCTTAGTTGCCTTGGTTAATCCTGTCATAACTGAAAGGTCACTATGAGATGTTAATGCTGACTTTTCTCTGCAAAAAGTGCATTTTACACCTTGACTTTTCTGTACTCCCAGCCCCATCACCTTTTAAAATATACACTTTTCTAAGCTAAAGAGCTAGCAAGGGTTTGGAGAGATGAGTCAGTTGGTAAATTGCTTGTTGCACAAGCATGAGGATCTTAGTTCAATCTCCAGAACCCACAAAAAAGCCAGGCATGGCAACACATGCCTACAGCCCTAGTACTGCAAAGTCAGAGACAGGAGGAGCATTGGCATAGCTGATCTACCAGTTTACTTGAATCGGTGAGCTCCAGGTTCAGTGTGGGACCTTGTCTCAAAAAATAACATGGAGAGTGATAGAGGAAGGCGTCTGACATCAACTTTTGCCCTCTATATGCACATAAGTGTACACATGAACACATACACACACAGAGCTAGCAAATATTTGTTTGGCCTCTGGATGGTATAGGGCCACATATAAAACAAAGTCATTGAAAGAACATACTAAAAGTGTCAATGCAGTTTGACCCAGCTTTGAAGAAGATAAGAAAACTGTTTATTCTGAGTCGGATATGAGTGACCTGAGGTCTGAGTTCTGAACAAAAAGGAGCTATTACAACTTTTATTGACATAGAAAAATGGCAGTAATAAGCAAACACATTCAGTGAATACCTTAGTGGGAGCCATAGATAAGCGAGTTAAGGCAAAGCAGGGAAATCTGACTCCAGGGCTCAGTTGGTCTCTTAGTGTTCCTGGTGAGACGGTTGATCAAGTTCAGTCATTTCTCATATACATTTCAGGTTTATAATAGTGAGAATGTGAGGTCAGATAGAAAAGTCAGTACTAGTAATTTGCCGTCTAAAGGCTAAAGACTTAGGTTTCAGGCTTCCAGCGAGGCTGCCCGTTTTAGGTTGAGTTTTGACATTTTGTTAAACAGATGGGTGTGTCCATAGGCTCTCATTGCAATTCTGGCCAACCTTCTGTTGTTATTATTAAGATTGGGCATCTCTGCTTATGTTCATGAACCATTCATGTTTCCTTTTCTGAAAGACTTATTCAAGTGTCTGCCTGTTTTCTAGTGGTCTTTGTTTGTCATAGACATTATCTTTACCAGTCTCAGTTCTAGTCCTTTGTGGACCATGTGCATCAGATATATTCTTCCAGTGGTGTGTGTGTGTGTGTGTGTGTGTGTGTGTGTGAGAGAGAGAGAGAGAGAGAGAGAGAGAGAGAGAGAGAGAGAGAGATTTATAATGTCCTTGGTGACTAGAACATTTTATTTGCTCTCCTTTTCTATTTTCATTCTTTTTTCTTAAATGTGTATCTATTTGTTATATTTGTGTGAGACTGCAGGGCCATGATTATGATGATGTTTATGTAGAGGTCAGAGGACAACTTTTGGGAGACAGTGCTCTCATTCTGCCTTGGGTTTCAGGGATCAAACTTGGACCATTAGGCTTACAGCCCCAAACATTTTTACCTGCCAAGACATCGTGCTAGTCTCCACTCTTACTGTTTTAAAATTTTATTTCCTCAACCTGTGCCTAGTTTCCAAACTTACTATTTTTTTGTCTATCCCTTGTATCTTTCAATGGATGCTGTTCTTTCTGGACTTTGTCACTGTCTATCTGTGCTAATGGATTTTCCTTTGCACTTCATGTTGGGTTCTGGGTAGCAATTTGAATATTCCCAAAGAACTTGAATTGCATAATTGGATGTGGCCGTAGTGATCTGTGGCTAGAGACATTCCCCAGCTTCTGTGTTGCTCACTGGTAGTTTCATATCCCACTACATAGACTTTCTTTCCAGGGTTACTTGGTGTGTGGGTTTGGGGAGGTAGTTCCTGCTAGACTTCCCCATTTTTCTTTCTTTTTCTGGAAGTAGGTCAGATTGGAAGGAGGAAGTCCTGTTAATGTATACTTCTTGCTTCAAAGTCTTTGGTTTATTGTTTTCAGGGTTGATCTCTTGATTTGTTGACTTTGATCAGCAGTCTGAAAGCTGATTCTCACATTGCTGTTTCTGTCCTGTCCTCACTGCCTCAGGTCATCTTGTCTGGGGTAAGAATGGGATTTTATGAACTCTGAGTGGCTCTGAGGTCTTTTCTTCTGTTCATTTACCTCTAGCAGTAGCAGATTCTGTCTCACCTTATTCTGCCCACCACTAGTTCTCAACTTCACAGGAAGAAAATTTAGGAAAGGGTTGGGCTGTTTAGGCCTCTTACATTTGTGAGGAGAACACTATTGCTTAAAGGTAAAGGAGAAAAGCCTTTATGGTGGTGCATCATCCTCCCTTAAGAGTTGTAAACTTCAAGTGCATTTTGTGCTTTGTGTTGTAGATGAGTATGTTTCCCAAGGGTAATTTACATACATTATCTTATTCCTTATCAGATTATTTTGCCTTGTATATATCTATGGAAGCTCAGACTGGAAAAGACAAGTAAATAAATAAAATGGTGTTCAAATCCACAGGCTGACTCATTTGTATGACATCACACTGTGATGCTTCATGAAGATTTGGTGCAGAGTTCTAAGCAGCCTGATCAGAGGAAAGGAACTGCTGGTAGGACTACCCAATCAGTACAGGCTTTCTGGGTGCTGCAATAAAATACTCCAACAAAAGCAACTTATGGAAGAAAGAGTTTATTTTAGCTACAGTTCCTGGGTACAGCCCTTCATGCCAGAGCAGCCACAGTGGCTGGAGCTTGAGACAGGTGGTCATATTGCATCCATAGTCAAGAAGGAGAGAGTAATGAATGTACACATGCCTGCGCTCAGCTTGCTTTCTCCAGCTCATACAAGATCCCCTGCCAGGCGAATGGCCCCACCTACAATTAAGATGAGTCTTCTCGCATCAAGTAATGTAATCAAGATACTCTCCCAACAGGCATGCTCACAGACCAACCAATGTAGATAATCCTTCTTTGAGATTCCCTTCCAGATGACAATAAAGTCTGTCAAGTTGATAATTAACTGTAGCCATCATGATATGACATGCCATTCTCGCCCACTTTTCCCTATTCTGTGCCTTCTGTATACTTTCCTTAGTTCCATGTTCATTATCTGCCCATCCTCCTGGATGAGCTGACCCCTCTCTTTGCTCCAGTGGATTTGCCATCCTATTTCCAATTCTCCCATTTTGTATGGACTGGTGCTGTTCTTTCTCCTCTAATTTCTCATAATAATAATAATAATAATAATAACAATAATAATAATAATACAGTGATATCTTTTAAATCTCTTAAATGCATCTAGCAGTATTTAGCTTCATTTTCATATTCTCCTTTATGTAGTTTCTTGTCACCTGACATAGAAACCAGCATACATTTGAACTTTTTGCTTTTTGCAGGCTGGAAGACAAGACTTGAAACCAAAGAGTCAACTCCAAAGCCCAACATTACTGAAGATTTGCCCAATGGGATCATAATGGAAAGGGAAGATTTGTGGCATTCAACTTTAGAGGATGCCTGGAAACCTGCTTGTTGGTTAGAGGGCCAGCAGAGAAGACATCTAGGCCAAGTGGTAGTTGCCCGAAAAGAATCACTCAATGATGAGAGAGTATGTGGAGGTAATAAAGCTGAAAAATGTTCCATTGAAAGTTCCATGCTTGATACACTACAAAACATTTCTATGGCAAAAAGGCACCATAATTGGAACTCACATGGAAAAGATTCCAAACAAAATTCTGAGTTAATGAAAACTCAAAGAATGTTTGTAGGAAAGAAAATCTATGCATGTGATGAGTGTGGGAAAACCTTCAGTCAGAGTTCATCCCTTCTTAAGCACCAGAGGATTCATACTGGGGAGAAACCCTATAAATGCAGTGTATGTGGCAAGCACTTTATTGAGCGCTCCTCCCTCACTGTTCATCAAAGAATTCACACTGGAGAAAAACCCTACAAATGTAATGAGTGTGGAAAAGCCTTCAGTCAGAGTATGAACCTTACTGTTCATCAAAGAACTCATACTGGAGAGAAACCTTATCAGTGCAGAGAGTGTGGAAAAGCTTTCCGTAAGAATTCATCTCTTATTCAACATGAAAGGATTCATACTGGGGAGAAGCCCTACAAATGTGATGAATGTGGGAAAGCTTTTACACAAAGCATGAATCTTACAGTGCATCAGAGAACTCATACAGGAGAAAAACCCTATGAATGTAATGAGTGTGGAAAGGCATTTAGTCAAAGCATGCATCTTATTGTTCATCAGAGAAGTCATACTGGAGAAAAACCCTATGAGTGCAGTGAATGTGGAAAAGCCTTCAGTAAGAGCTCAACTCTTACCCTACATCAGCGAAATCACACTGGCGAAAAACCCTACAAATGTAACAAATGTGGCAAATCCTTTAGTCAAAGCACATACCTTATAGAACATCAGAGACTTCACTCTGGAGTGAAACCTTTTGAATGTAACCAGTGTGGAAAAGCTTTTAGTAAGAATTCTTCTCTTACTCAGCATCGGAGAATTCACACTGGAGAGAAACCTTATGAGTGTATGGTATGTGGAAAGCATTTCACTGGACGATCATCCCTTACTGTACATCAGGTTATTCACACTGGAGAGAAACCTTATGAATGCAATGAATGTGGGAAGGCCTTTAGCCAGAGTGCCTACCTTATTGAACATCAAAGAATTCATACTGGTGAAAAGCCCTATGAATGTGATCAGTGTGGAAAAGCTTTCATTAAGAATTCGTCCCTTATAGTGCATCAGAGAACACATACAGGAGAGAAACCCTATCAGTGTAATGAATGTGGAAAAGCTTTCAGTCGTAGTACAAACCTTACAAGACATCAGAGGACTCACACCTGAGAAGTTTTTATTGGTCCCATCATCTTAGTTAATTCTTTGATAATCAGATAAGTTATATTAATTTGATACTTAACAAGTATAATATGGGAAGCCTTTAGTTGAAGTGCAATATAACATCAAATAACAAAACCATAGCAGAGAGACCACTGAAAGTGGAGAATGCTTGACTCTGAAGTTAAAACTTTGTATCAGGCTTCAGAAGCTCATATATACATGATGAAGATTTATTCTGAAAAATCCTATTGATTCATACTGGAGTTTCTGATTTGGGATTCACAGACTTCACACTGGAGGGAGAATGACAGTGTTTAACTGGATAGCCCAAAAATCTGGAATGTAGTTCCGACCTCCCACAGACTTGATCAAGTCACAGTGCCCTTATCTAATAAGTGAGCGATTTCGGATTTGGAAGGCCACTAGAATCCCTATGAACTAGAATGCCTAAAAACATGATGCAAGGAAGTTTTGGTCTTTTCTCTGTTACAAATACTGCCTAGGTGCTTCTGTTACGCATCTGGTTTTCTTGGATGTTTTGAGTCAAAATTCTCTACCTCTACTAATTCCTATTATCCTGCAAGTCCTCCCATTCCCTGAATTACTTTCTCTCCTAATATATAGGCTGGTTGCTATCAGGCATCAGATGAATTGCACAGACTTTAATGCTACAGCATGCTGTTTTGGATTCTCAGTTCATAGTCATTAAACTGTTGTTAAATAAACTATTTATATTTAGATGACAATGTAACTTAAATGTAATCTTTAAGTACTTAATAAATACATATCTTTGTGTCTTATTTCACTTTCATTATGGAGATTTAAAAAGAGCAGTATTGAACACTATTAGACATGGATATTTGGCCTATTAATAAAACCTTTGCAACTCAAAATATATTCAGGACAAACACAGGAATAGTTTATAGATTGTAATTGTAGAATTTGGTTTATCAAACATATATCAACTGAGTGCTAAATATGAGCTAGATATGATTAGAAAACCAAAATCATTATGTTACCTTTTTTTCTTCAAAGATTAAGAAAGTGGCAGTGTGATGAGAGAAGAAAGGAAAATCAAAACTGCAATGAGGCATAATCCACAAAAATTGGTAACTAGTTAAATACTGATATTGGAACAAGAAGGGGTGTAGAGTGATTTGAATTCCTTATTTGGGTGGATTGGATGCTATAATTAAAAATACATGTAGCCTAGCATGGTGGTATACCTCCTTAATCCTAGTACTCAGAGGCAGGTGGATCTTTGAGTCCCAGGACAGCCAAGACTACATAGTGAGACCATGTCTCACAAACATAAAACAAAAAACATGGTCAGTTTTGTGAGGCATTGACGTGCTCAGACTGAGAGCATTTTTATAAGTTTATAGAATTAAGAGTCTGGGTAGGCTGTAGAATAAATAGCAGAACTGGAAGTTCTGTCATTGAAGGGTAAGTGGAGCCAACACAAGGCAGAAGCTGAGAGGTACAAATTGCCAAATGGAAAAACAGCGAATTCAGGAAGTTGTGTTGCCACAGAAGTAAAAGGAGACATTTAATGGTGGAAGAGGAACAGTCACACCAAACGCCATAGGTGGCAAATTGAGGGAAAAAAAAATGTCCTTTGCTTTGGCGACAAATTTATAACATAAATTCAGGTTGATGAGTAAGATAAAGGAGAGAGCTGGAAAGATAATCAACCAGAGGGAGCTTTGGTAGCAGGTAATTAAAAGCCCACTTAACAAAGCCTTGGGCAAGTGGGGATTTAACAAATCTGCAAGTTCACATTTGATTCCGGAACAAGAATGGCAGTGGGCAGAGCTTCAGGTAGAACGTCTGCATTCAGAGTGGGAAGAAGGAAGTGTGTAGCCCCAGCAGTGTCTGTGCCGTGTGTGAAAGGTGCTCCCAGAAGGCCCCAGCACAATCCTGTGTTCATCTAATTACAAGTGTTACTTGGCCACCTCCGGTGGCAAGGATGTCTGAGAAAAGAATCATCTAATCCCCCAAAAGGCTTTGTAAAGGCTGTTGATTCAGCTAACCAACAATCTGCCAAGAAGTTTTATGATGTCAGGTAGGGGTAACAGTGTAACTGGAAAGAAGAGGCGTGGGAGAGTGGGGACACAGGCAGAAGTGGGTGCACATCTCAAAGTGGGAAAATCAGGTTTGGGGGACAGGCAGAGGATGCAGAAATCCATTAACAGGAGGAAAGAAACTTCCCAGTGGGAAAAAATAATGGGTCCAGAAGATGCTTGTGGGACACAGTAGAGGATGTGTCTGTAAGAGGCATTTAGTCTTAGTTCAGTCTCTGGGCTTTGTGACTCCTCAGAATTCTATTTTGAGTGATTGCACCCACCCTAGGCTTCTGTACCCTTCATCCTCCCTCCCCCCCATTTGTCCTGTGCCTTCCTTTTGAGCCTTTTTCTGCTGTCTTTATCATTTTCATGCATTTTTCTAGCCATCTCTTTTAGCCTCTTCCCCATTTCTCTCTCTCTTGAGATCAGGAAGAACATTCATCAGGAAGAAAGGAAAGGAGAGCTAACTAAGAATCTGAGTTAGTTCAGTACTTCATTCCACCTTTACCTACTCTAAACTCCACCGGGGTAAACTGAAGTACATTTAGGGAGTCCCAGGAACTGCGTTCTAGATCAAGGAGTTGGGAGCAGAAGAGTAGAAAAACTCAGTGTCTGGGATTACTTTTTCTCTCCAAGCCTTAAACTTGGAATGAGGGGAAGGTGCTGTTTCTTCAGGGAAGACTTAATATTTGGAACACAAAGGCCTGAAAGCTAAGATCTTGGCTGTAGAATCCTCTCCTGACACCCAAATAAACCCCTTTGGTGTTCATTCTCACGTTGAACTCTGGCTTCTGTAGAGCCAGACTTCCTGGTGGATGGGAGCTATCAGCAGCCAGGGATGTCTGTGTCCTTTCTTCCTCTTCCCCATCCCCATTCCCTACCCCTTGCTGCAACTTCCACTACTGCCGGTGCCAGCTGGCCAAGACGGACAGTACCTGAAAGGGGGAGTGAGGATTGAAAGAAAAAACAAGAGACAGAAAAGATGCTTGGGAGGACTGACAGTAGTGACTGCAGCCCCGGTTTATGTCAGCTCCTCCTTTTTATACAGAAGAACTCAATTAGTTTCAACAGCTGTTTTCCCCACCTGTACCTGAGGGTCAAGGAGTGGTCAGATACTTCAAAGGCTTCTTTGATCTTTTTGTTTACCACTATTGCCTCCAGGTCAGGTATTGTGAGGCTCTCCATATAAACACATTCCTCCTGAATAGGCAGATTAGGTACTGGTATGCATAACACAAACTCAGTAAACAAGGCTGCCACCGCTCAATGTACATAATAGACTAGCAGCTCCCAACACACTACCACATGGACTGCTTGTGGTTTTGTAGTTTGTTTATTTGTTTGTTTTTGAGATAGGGTCTCCCTGATATAGCCCCAGCTGTCCTGGAACACACTATGTAGACTAGGCTGGCCTTGAACTCAGAGAGATCCACCTGCCTCTGCCTCCCAAGTGCTAGGACTAAAGGCATGTGCCACCACTCCTGGCCATGCTGTGGTTTTTCACACATACATATTGATGGTTGTTTTCCCTTGCTTACAAATAAATTTGCACAAAAATACCATCTCTCCTATCTAGAGATCTTTCTACCTTCTGATCCACGTGCCTCTCTGTCCTAATTCTAAAAGTACATGAGAGAAACTCAATTGGTCCAGATGAGTTTTTTAAATGGTTTAGGGGTGTGTGTGTAGGTGCCTGTAGAGCCAGAAGGGGACATAGGATCCCTTCAAGCTGGAGTTACAGGCGTTCATGAACCAACCCAATGTGGGTGATAGGATCCAAACTCCAGTCCTCTGATAGAGCAGTAAACATTCTTAACCCATGAATAATCTCTCCAACCCCCCAAGACCATATTTTAAAAACAGGCTTCCCAAGTCATTTTCTGGCCAAAGGCCTGGTATTTTCAGCCCAGCTGTTGGGACAAGGCTACTACTGTATTATTAGTGTCCAAATAGTGGGGCCTGTGGGCAGTAGACAGTCTTGACCAGTATGCTGGTAGATCTTTGCTGAGCATCTCAGTGGTTGCTGGGGTTCAAGAGCTCTACAGGAGCTCAGAGTAGGGGAGTGAAAAGTAAATTAGGACTAAGATGACCTCAAAGCTAGCAAGAAATACAAGCCCCCTAGAATGACGAATGGGGCAGTTGGGCATATTTCTCTTAGCTGGGCCATCAAGACTCACATGGGTGCATTTCCTCCACTGGAGCTCTGTGAAATGGGCACGTTGAAGAGGTTACCAATCAAGGTTCCTTGACTGACTGAGGCAGAAGCTAACTAGATTATGCACAGCCCACAACATTTGGGTGTTAATGGGGACTACATCTGGCTCCTGGGAAAAAAAGATACAGAAAGGAAGGGACCCTGACAACTGACAGATGCTTAGGATGTAATTGAGGTAGCTTACTTCCTTGCATTTACACGCATTGGCGTGGTTCAGGCCCTGCCCACAATCTACAGACTTGCGGTTTTCATCTCGGCTACGTGCTGGTGCAATGACAAGGAATTGGCACTTCCTCCTGACAGTGCATAGGTCAGCTTACAGGAGTTCCAGGATGAAGAACCAGTCTCTGCTGCCAGGTAGGTCCTGATTCAGAGCGCCATGGTAGTGCACTGGTGGGGTGCAAAGTGGACAGGAAACAGGAAAGTGAGAAGAGCAGCAAAAAACAGCAAGACTGACTAAAAGACCAGTGCATTTTGGAGAACCTAAGGAGCGGTTTGAGTGTGTGGTAGCCTAGTGCCAGGAAATGAAGCTGAAGGATCTTACTGTATCCTGCAAGGGTCTTGTTAAGAGACTGAGCAAACACTAGGGACTAGGAGGAAGTAGACACTTTCCTGAGGAAGAGTAATCAGACTGGCCCAATGTAAGGTTAATCTTCATATCCATAATGAACCTAATGGAAGTCCTTGAGAGAAGTGGGGGTTTCCCAGGTGAATCCTGGGAGCAGTAAGTAGAGCTGGTAAGAGTCCTAGTTAGGAGTTAGGGGGTATAGAGGTGTCACTGTTTCAGCTTGTTTTAATGAGACAGGGTCTTGTATAGCCCAGACTGGCCTTAAATTAGAATAGCCAATGGTAACGTTGAACTGCTGATCCTCCTGCCTCTACCTCTTGAATGCTGGCATCGCAAGTGTGTGCCACCACACCAGTTTAGGTAGCGCTGGGATGGAACCCAGGACTTCATGCATGCTGGGCAAGCACTCTACCAACTGACCTACATCACAGCCCTGTTGTTTTCTTGTGTGTGTGTGTGGGGGGGTGCACACTTTCACAGAAGGCTTCCCATAAGGTATTCCCTAACAGACTTCACCAGCTCAAGGAGAAAGATGACAGGTAAATGGATGTTTCATTTTATTCCATTTTGGAAGATGGGCCTTGTATATCTCCTTCAACTAGCCTAGGCAGTAAGTAGTGAGCATGCATGGCATCTTTCTTCTGCCAGCTAAAGTGGAATTCTTGGTTCCAGTTACTACTGGTCATGGGTGGAATCTTCCTTAATTTAATGTATCAGTGCTTTAGTTTCCTCATTAGTTAATATGCAAACCTAAGTGCTTTGGGTTGTGTTAGATAATACAGTACTTATGAAAGTTCTCAACTTAGCAACCTAAGTGCCCCTCAGCTGACGAGGGGTTACCAAAAATGTGGTATATTTACACAATGGAGTTCTACTCAGCAGTAAAGAAAAATGTAATAATGAAATTTGCAGGTAAATGGATGGATCTAGAAACTGTTATACTAAGTGAAGTAACACAGACTCAGAAAAATAAAAGACATGTGTTCTCATTTGTGGATCCTAGCACCAAATCCTTTTAAATTCCATGTCCTTTTAATAAGATGATGCTGTACAGCAGTCTCTTCTGCATGAAATAACTACCATCATCACGATTTCAGCTGTGCCTGATTGTTAAACATTGTCACAATTGGGCTTGTCAGTTGTGCTCCTTCATTAAAGGAGGGGCAAGCAGGGTCATTGGACCCTCACTGGAGTATATAGCCACTCTCCCCAGCCAACTGTATGTAATTTGGCCCTAATCACACATGGTCTCCTGGATTTGGGGAGGGCTAATTAAACAATCTGGAGAAGGATAGGAAGAGAAGGCTTGACCCATAATGGGTAAAGCCTTTCCAGTGTGCATATGCTCAAGTCATTCATATACCTCAGCAACCCCTCAGACATCTCAGTAAGTAAGCTCAGTAAATTCATTGGTTCCCCAGTAAAACTTTAATCAAACATTGCTTTGAAACTAGAACCTTAAAAGGGAATATGCATTACTTAGTATCCCCAGGAAAAGAATTCTCACAACAGATGGAAAATATATTTGTTAATGTTATTATGTCTCTTATTAAAAAAAGAAA